CGCAATAAGAGTTTTTTCCTGCCATTCTTGTTGGTTGGACCAGAAATTCATAATTCAACGCACTCATTCTTGTTTTACGACATTTTAAATTTTGTTTACAACATTTTTTAAAAAATTAGTGCTTTCAAGTAACGTGTTCTGTTCGTGCTGTGGGTTTCCGGGGTGTTATAAATGTAATTCTTCGAAAACAAATTGGGATGTCCCGGAGCTTTTCTCTATTCCACCCCCTCCCAACTCGGACCGCCAGTCCGGGTCGGATCAACTCGGATCGAGTCGGACTAACTCGGATCGAATTAAAAAATAAAGATAAAATAAAACTGGACTCGGATCAACTCGGGTCATAAAAAAAAAGACAACTCGGATTATGAAAAAAAAAAACAACTCGGACTATAAAGAGAAAAATAAAATCAGTCGGTATCACTTAACTTTCACCCGCCATTTTTGTTTTTTTCTCACGAACTCGTGGTTGCATAAATTAATTTTATTTTTATTTTTATTAATTTTAATAATGCACTAGTGAGCAGCACACATACACTTCCAGTGAACATTTTCAACTTGGAAGGAGGAGAAATCATGCTTGACCGGGACAACGAAAATTTTCGTACCCCGGGCGAGAATTGAACTCACGACCCTGCGAATACTACATGTTTATCGAACGTTCCAACCACTGAACCGGGATGGTCGCGAGTTCGATTCTTGCCAGGGGCATGGAAATTTCCTTTGTCCCGGGCGAGCATGGTTTCTCCTCCTTCCAAGTTGAAAATGTTTACTGGAAATTTATGTGTGCTGCTCACTAGTGTATCATTAAAATTAATAAAAATAAAATTAATTTACGCAATCACGAGTTCGTGAGAAAAAAAACAAAATGGCGGGTGAAAGTTAAGTGATACCGACTGATTTTGTTTCTTTTTATAATCCGAGTTGTTTTTTTTTTAATGATCTGAGTTGATCCGAGTCCAATTTAATTTTATTTTTATTTTTTTATTCGATCCGAGTTGGTCCGAGTCGATCCGAGTTGATCCGACCCGGACTGGCGGTCCGAGTTGATCCGGTCCGACTTTTGTACCTGCCTGTAAATCTTGGCGACGAATCTGGTGGCGTGTAAACCAGCCTTTTAAACATACTTTTTCTCACCACGTCTCAGGTAAACAGTACTATAAGGCCCTTTTTTTATCATACAGACCTCGGACAGAATTTGTTCTTTTTTGCCCTATTTAAACCTATAATTCCTCAGTTTTTTTCACAATTTTGCAAGAGAATTTGCACTCATTCAATATCCACGACGATCAAAGCACGTGCCTCCTTTGCACAACAAATTATAGCATTGAATTATAAAGCGTTTTCATGAAGAGAATTCTATAATGCCAGGACGTTTCTGTTAGAAAAATCTGGTCCTATGTGATATGCAGGGTAATAATTATGGGCTTTTAATGAAAACGATAAAAAAAATTCCCAAAATCACTTTTCGGCCAGCCGGACGCGCGGGTTCTCACTTTTGACAGGCACCAAATTAGCAGTGCGATTAATAGAGTTACCATTTACGCTTCAACATGATAGAGAAATTGTTATGTTTAGGTTTTATTTCCCTTTATTCATTCAACTGTGTATGATTTTGTTATGTGTAATCTTTAAAAGCGAGTGATATTTACGCGCGGCGTTTTGAGTATTCCTGCATGCGATGTTTATGTTCGACTGGAAACAACCTGGGCAGCGATGAAAATTGCGAGAGGGACTACTAACAATCAATAAAATAAATTTAATTCGGTGAAACATGTACAGAGACAATAATTTTAATTCACGAAGAGAAGTATTGAGAGTAAAGTGTCTCAGAAAATCATGAGTCAGGAAAGCATAAGCTTATTTATGTTTTAAGCCGGCTTCCCGGTGTTCGCTCTTTTTCAAGATGAACTCGAGGCGAGAAAATCGCTCAGAGCTTTCTATTTACAGCCAAAATCATAACTAAATAATCTTCGGAACCTTTTCTTTGAATTTGCAGGTCAAAAAATGTCTAAAGGCTTTTTAAACCTGATACTATAGTAGGTTAGATCATTGCTCTTGTATTAACTTAAGCCGCATAAACCATACGCTCGACTTCAGGAAACCGAAAAAAAAAAAACACATCAAAGACAATAATTACTCAGGCTTACCAGTCGAGATGCTGCTTCTGAAGGTCATCAAGTGTTCCAGAATTTTCAACCCTCTTATGCCTCAAGCAAGGGCAAGTCAGTAGGCTCATTTTTGAAAACGATGCCATCCGAAATCGGATTTCCAATGACTTTGACAAGCGGTGCATTTGTCCACAAAAAGCGCAATAAACAAACCAGCCACGAATTACAGAACAATCTTGATAGCAGCTGTATTTCATTTTGTACACCAAGTAGAAAAAGACAGTTTAAAACATCACATGATGACACAAAACTCTGTCAGCTCTAGCTATCAGTAAGCAAGTTTCCAGACGCTGCATAAATTTTCCGCATAAACTCACCTGTCAAATTTTGACCAATCAGAACATAAAAATTGGACGTAGAGCGTGATCAACGCGTGACAGTGAGAAAAGTCAAAAGCGATTGCCTTCCCTGCATGGAAATGTAAAAGCCGGTTGAATTTTCGTGTTCGAGGTCAGTTCGAAATCAACATTTTAAAAGTGCGGCTCATGAAACACGACTTATTTCATATGCATTTTAAAAAAATTGAACTTGGGCCTGCGATCATTTGAAAAGTAGCAACTTGTCAGCGGATACCTTCAAAAAATTACTCGAACTCAGAGGATCGATACCTGAGCCCGCGATACGGTCAGGCGATACTGGTCAGCAGAAACACTATTTTGACAGCTGTCAATTAATCAAAACATGGATGTACAATATCAGGTTGCAGGCTCCCAAACTAGCTAGAAAGTGTGAGATTAAACATTGGTATGCCTGTGGTGCGGACAGACGGAAGGTCGGGTGGTCGGTGTACGGTCACGTGATTGCCGAATTTTCTAGGACGGATAGATTTACTATAAAGCAATGGGCTTCGAATTGAGCCCGTGATCACATAAAATATCAGCGCAAAACTTTAAACACTACGTGACCTCAATGGATAGAAAAATGAGCCCGCGATCCACTCAGGTGATGATGGTCAGCGTATTCTCTAGTCTGAAAGCTGTCAATTAACCTTCATTAGAATGGCGAATATTCGAATTAACAGACATGTAGTGGAAGATGCCAGATCGTGTACCTGAGCGAACCTGAGCCCACGTTTTTAGTTTTCTGATAGTGGTCTGCACATGTCCCATTTGACAGCTGTCAATTGACCTTAATTTGGCTTGCTAATGTAACTTTAAACGACTGTCAGCCAACTAACAGCCTTGCCCTGCGTAGTTTCGTTTTTATGTTGAATTGGTGGGTGTGACATATTATGTTAGCTTATATATAGGGGCTAAACGACTGGTCTTTTATCTGAGCCCGCGAGACGGTCATGTGATAATTGTCAGCGGATGTCTGATTTTGACAGCTGTCAATCTAATCGTACTCATACGGATGGCTTACATAACTAAGAGGCTAGTCAAGTTGTGCAAGATCTGTTGTGACATTTGACATCGGCTTACATGAAGTGTGTGTACGGATGGGCGTACGCTACGTCATAACCAAATTTTCTCGGATGGATAGTTTACCAAATTTTTTTACCCATGGTGCTCCGCTGCGCGCACGCTGCGCGCGCGGGAGCTCCGCTATAAATGCGTTATTAACCAACCTTGTTCGGTCAAGATCGCAAGATATTGGCCAAGTTCTTTTATGCGTACTTATTGGTCGAGAACAAAGAACCATGTTAGTTGATTTGCACCACGTAAACGGGGCCCACACGCTAAAAAAAACATTCATAGTGTAAAAAGGGGGCCGGTAAGTAATTGGTTAATAAAGGATTTATTATATGGCCAAAGAGACCAACGCGGGAAATCCGAGCGGGCAATACGGGCCCATCTTGCTCGCTCGGGTAGCCAATCAAAACCTCATCGTGCTCGCTCGCGGATTTAGCAATACAATAAAGAATACATCTACATCTACATAAATTTTAAGACCTACAAAGAGGCATACCCATCAATGCAAGACACTAAAAATAAACTGATGAATATAAATATTTACATACAGTGAAACCCGTATTAAGCGGACACCCTCTATTAAGCGGACAGTAGCAGAAGTCTCAAAATTTATGTCCCTTATTTACTTTAAATGAAACCTTTATTAAGCGGACGCGGACACCTAAAAAGTACCTGAAATGGTCATTTCTATTGTTGCCAACCTGCATTAAACGGACACTTGTAATTAAATATGCTTACCAATCAATGGATCCGATACTGGAATTGCATATTCTAGACGAGGTCTCCCTAGCGCTTTATAAGCTAATTTCTTAATTGATTCAGACCAGTTGCTAAGATTCCTTCGCTGGAAGCCGAGAGTTCGATTTGCTTTTGTTGAGTTTCCTATCAATGTGATGGCCCCAGTCTAACGAGATGATAGCTCTACTCCAAGATATGAATGATGTAATACTGATTCTAGTGTGCGACCCATTAATTTATAATCATAAATAACAGGTTCACCCTTTCTGGTTATCCTCATGACAAAACATTTGCTTGGATTAAATTGCATCAGCCATTTCTGATGTTTAGCATCACTTGTTGACTCTACAATACTATATAAGATGGTGTCGTCTACAAACAGGCGTATCAGAGTGGAGGAGCAATCAGAACCAATGTCATTTATATATAGTAGGAACATAAGAGGACCTAAAACAGTTCCTTGTGGAGCACCCGATGATACATGAACTGGGGAAGATGAGACACCACCAACTACAACAGTCTGTTCCCTACATGTAAGCCAGTTGGTTAGCCAGACCTTGCGGTTACCACATATGCCGTAATAATCTAGTTTATCAATTAGTTGCTGGTGGGATACAACGTCAAAGGCTTTGGAAAAATCCAAAACGTCTGTCTGTTTATCATTATTAATAGCTTTGGCTGTTTCCTCGATTGTGGCTATTACCTAGGTTTCCCAAGAAAACTTCCTGCGAAAGCCACGTTGAGAGTTAACCAGATTGATTCTAGGGCCTTGCATGGAACAGCAGTCAGTAAGATAGGGCGGTAACTAAGAGCAAGATTCCTTTTATAATTGCATAGTTGTTTTTTTCCTAGATATGTCGATCCGTGGCAAATGTACATTATCGAAAGCTGGCAAACCATGAGGACGTTATTAGGTTGGAATACGATGATGATAAGAAGCAGCTTCAGCTAATATATAGGTAAGTACCTGTGTCTCTATGGCGTTATCTGAGGCTCCGTTCACACGGACATGTATCTGGATATTGTTCCACCAAGCACTTTTTTGCTCTTTTCACTTTTTTATGGCGTCCAGTTCATTGGTCTGACGTGGAAAGAAGCCTCAGAATGTCGAGCCACTTTTTTTGGCACAATTGAAGAGTAAATTTACAATAATCAAAGCTAGGTTTACCTGCAAACTCGTTATAAGAGTTGAAATAAGTGCAAAGAGTATAGAGTGTTTTCACTCACGTGGCCAGCATCTACGCCAATTTATTGGAACAAAAGAAAGCGCTTACATAAGAAAAGAGTTCAACTCCCACAGGACTGGTTAGGGACACAAACATGGCCGCCCCTTCATTGTTTTGGGACACAAATATGGCTGCCATGACGTCATGTGAAAACTCTCAATAGAAGCGATAACTTTGCCCTCGGCAGCCATTTTGAGTACTCACGGTAAAGAACTGGCCCTGGTTGTTCAGACGATCGATGGCACTATCCACTGGATTAATGACTATCCAGTGGATAAGTATTAGGAAAATGCAAATTGCACGATCCAGTGGATAGAGATTTATCCGCTGGATAGCGTTATCCACCTTTTGAACATCTGGAGCATGGACTCGATCTTGTTAAGTCATTCGAAAAAAAAATATCCGGATTTAGCGTCCACTCTAGAGAGCAGATTCAAAAAGTTGCGGATTCGTATGCCGGATTTACTGGATGCGTGTGGACAACAGCCGAACCCGCAAAAAAAAGTTGCGAGTTCAATAAGATATTGATACGTGTTGCCGGGGCCAGTGTGCATTATCTCCTAATTTTCTCAAATTTTATGTGTGCACATTTTTTGTCTTGCATTTGCTAGGAAAGTTTTCGAATGGGAGGCAAAGGCCATCCTTAAGTGCGATCCAACATTCGAGGAAGCAAAATTTGACATTGTTGACGTTGCTGGCGATTGGGTAAGTCAAGGTAAAAATGAATTACAAATGAGAGAATTATAACTGGAGCTTTGTCTTTCATTTCGAATATGATAACAGCTTTACCTGGCTAATTGTTGTTAATTGAATAGAGTTTCAGTTCGTGAATAACTCTGGCAACAAGGGACCGGGGTATGTGGTAAATATGCATCAGGAACGTCAAACGCTGATAGTGAACTTGAAGGGATTCAAATGCATCAAGGGTTGCTGCAAAAGGAGGGTTTAGTTCTTGCCGCAAATGAGACATCATATTCGTAATAGACGTAAACTTAATTAGGATGTAAGTTGTATTAGCATACCACCCTCCGAATTTGCAAAGATCCCCACTACGAATCATTCGAAAACTAAATCCAATGTCCAAATCCCGTCTTTGTAACATTTGCTTCTTTCTACCCAAAGTAAGGATAGGATGTTTAGTCTAGTAGACAGAAGTTGAAGCAGCAGTTAAAAATTCTAAGACGAGACGCTTGAACTAACTGATTTGTTTTTATTCCTCAGACCTTCATTCTCACCCACAAGTGCGCATGTCCAAATGCTTGCTTGATTGATCCAACTCATTCATCTGTTCCTACTACTCCGAGCGATCCTAGTGATCCTGCGCATTCAAGTAAGCTAAATTATCTAACGGTTTCGAGCAAGTTATTGCGGCATACACCAGACTACCTCTCTTTCGAGTGTCGCAGCAGATCACGCACACAGTAGTTCAAGCAATGATCTAGAAAATGGATTTTACAGTAAAAGGAACTAAAAAATTGCAAATAATTATGACGCCTTTATAGAGAAAAAAAACATTTATCGGTTTCTATTTTTAGGCTTTAAAAAACTATCCTTGCTAAAGTAAACGCTGAATTACGCCTCAAATTTCTTTCAATTTCTTAACTGGCCAAGATCCTACCAGCACATCAATTGGCAAGAATTCTTTTGCCTTTCCTTCGCGTACATTTCTTAAAACGAATTCAAAGCTAATCATTTCCTTTGAACAGGTCCGAACAATGCGCTCAAGGAAGAGATCTCTATCCCAGCTGGTGCTTTTGTATGTTTTCTTGCAATTTCTGGATTTGTATTCTGGAAAAGACGCCGACGTGGACGACGGCATAATGGCAACGATAATCAACGCAATGACGAAAGACAACATCTCGTTCGTGGAGAAGCCGAGAGACCCCCATCCGATAACGTTAGTTTTATCAATCCAATAGGTGGAGGGAGTTCTGAACCGGCAAAACCTTGCGACATCACAGTCTCTAAGAATAAAACCGACTTTAACAAATTAAGTGCACCTGTGTAACAACGAACAATTCCCGATAACACTGATTTCTCTAAGCTTAGTTCTATATAATTTGTGGTGAGTTTTTAATACTGGAAATTATTGAAACGATGTAGTCATTCAGGGTGCAATGACGACGACGACGGCAAGGTGAACGGGCAAAAAAGCAATAGGTAAACTTTACACGTGTTTCATGCTTGTTTGTACATTTCTTTGTCGTAGTTGCCCGACCACGACTTGAAACTGTCCAATATCACGTTTTCTGGATCGGACGTGAACACAAGAGAACAATTTTCTAATTCTTTTTTTAAACTTAGACACGTAAAGTACTTTCGAATTCAACTCTTGAAAACAACGTTTGACAAAACAGCGTGAACTCACTTTTTATTAAATGAGACGTTTTAGCCACCGTCGTCGTCGTCGTTGATTAAGTTCCCTAATCTCGAAGTAGGTCAAATGAAATTCATCAGATCAATTTTTTTCATCTTAGAGGCTTATAACTTTGGTTAAAAGATCTTTACAAGGTGGTATTTCTAATGGTGGGCAAATTTCAGTAAAATTGAGCTCTGAAATTTTGCTTATTTTTGAAAAAATAAATCAGAGGGTAGTTTTAATAGAATAAGCATTTCAATTATGAGTAAATTTACTGAGTCATACACTGATCCGCGGGAACGCTTTACCACATTTGAGCATGTTGCTTAGTGTGAGTAGACCGGTAGGTAGAACGAAATATAGCCGGATTTTATCTTGCACCAGTTAACATATACCAACATACGGTCGTTCATTTTTACTGCATGACGATAATATGAGCACAAGGCTACGGCTAAAATGCTTAATTATTATTATTATTGTAATTTCTACATTGTACGTAATAACAATGCCTTTCCAGTGACGGATTCAGTTCAGATTCAGGTGTGGGGTGCCAGCTCATCCAGTCTCTAATTCCCTTACAAAGTAGACTTGCCTTGTTATAATAATTTTTCCCAGCCCTGTAGACTTCCATTTGACCTATAATAAGGTGAGGGCCCGAGCTCCCCGGGCCCCTCCCCAAGATTCCCTACTACGTTCTATCGTAAATCCTCTATAAGTCCATTTGAAAGGAGCTTAAAAGAGACGGGGGCTTATTTGAGAGGGAAGGCTGATTTAATTTAGCAAAGACGATGGTACCAGTCCTCCATAAAGAACTAGAATACAAAGTGGAAAAGTTCAAGTACAAGAAGTTTAGAGGTGATGCAATCGAGGAACAAAAACAAATCCGAACTTTCCATACCTTCCAGTTGGTAAATAAACCATCCGGGATCAGTCCACGCGAAGTCCCTCACAAAGTTTTACAGTCATTTATTAATGGTAAAGAATAATCAAGGGAAGAGATGGGGGGCTTAAAAGAGAGGACGGAGCTAATTAACTTTCTTCCCCTGAAAAAGGGGGGCTTATTAGAGAGAAAAGGCTTATTTGAAAAGGGGCTTAGCTTAACAGAGGATTTACGGTATTTTATTTACAATGACTTTTAGCTATAGTTTTTTAGTTTTTAATTCCATTTTATTTGATTCTTATGAGAACAGATGTAAAAAGACATTTATGGTTTCCACAGATAACACAGCGTTGTAATTTCCTGAATGAGTTATCCTATCAAAATAAAACGGAAATTTCCGAAAACAATTGTAAACGTCACTCTATTACTTGGACTTTGAAAAGTACCTTTAGGGACTGTTTACATGGAGGTGGGGGACCCCAGGTAGGTAACCCGCCTGTCCATATAATTGCTGATTTTCATTTGATCACGCTTACATTGTGCTTTTGACCAGCATTTTTTGCGGCACCACCAGCCTGCTGTATGGTCAGGATTGTCTTTATACTTGAAGATAAAAAACTACAGAGCTCTGAGGTCAATTTACCTGAACAAGGGAAAAACCTGTGGCGTTTTTTCAGCCTTGTTTGGGAGAGTCTGGGTTCAGAACTAGCTGTGAAGTTTCAAAAACTATGTAACTGTGCAGCTAAGACCAAAACCTTTTCCAGTTATGATTCTACTTTCGGCCCCCTACTGCAAGAGGTAGAATGGGACAGTCTTTCCATGAGCAGAATTAAGCTTCTCGCTATAGACATTTTCAACGGGTACAAAAATATGGCACCTGAATACATATGCCAAAAAGTTTTGAAATGCCCAGCTATGAATATTTTATCAAAGGTCTTAGTTTTACATAGTGTGTATACATATACATATTTTTTCACAATTATAATTAACTTGAAACTCTGATAGATATAAAAATCTTTTAACACTGCTTTTATATAAACCAGGGCTTTAGCTGATAAAATTAACTACCGCGACTAAATAAAATATTTATCTATCCAAGCATTTCGAAGTTATCTACTTCGAATGCGATTTTGAATGCATACAGGTGTATGCCACTATCTTAAATTTTATTTTTGTTTTTTTTTAGTTGTTGTTGTTGTTGCTGTTTACCTACAAGAAAATAAAAAATTCCTCCATTCTTCAGTAAAGATGCCAAAATTCATAGAAACCACTTAAAACTTAACGATTAAAAAGCGCAATTCAAAACTGTAAATAACACCTTTTTAAAACGGCGTAGAGACTTCTTCTTCATCATCTTCATCTTCTTCAGTTATCAGCAAATAGTTCTTCCTTCTACAATACGTGGCTTGTAATCCTTAATTTGATACAGCAAACGCGATGTAAAACGACTTTTTAAACCAAGGCGTTTATCGTTTTTTAGTTTATTTATGCGAAACCTAGCTTGAGCCAGGAAGAAAAAGTAAAGCAAAAATCAAAAGATCGTAACTTAGTTTTGTCGTTCATACATGTATATTAAGCCTTGTCAACCTAAAACCGCTGATCCTTGGTAGATTTCGCTTCGTCTGATACAATTATCCTCACTACATACTGGGATACTACTTCCCAAGCTGTGGCTCGCTAGAGACGCATTTGGAAGATTGTGTGCATTATCAAGTCCTCTTCCTTCGTTTTTAACAGAGTAGTCGACCCGGCGATTTCCACCAATCAAAGGCTGCCGCTCCTCATCGTGATCTTCAAAGTGGTGCTGGTCCTGCTTGTTCTCTGGTCTTTTGATACATCGCCAGATACGCCTGCGGTACATTAAAAGACCAATGATGAGGAGAAATGCTGCAGCAGCCGAACCTGGTAGAATATACATCAGCAGGTTTTCGTCATCCTCCACTACAAATAAGCAGATTGAGCCAAATAAATACTTGTGGTGCGTTCTTCACTAACGCTTTATCAGGATGAGGCCTTGTCTACAAGAATACGTTTTGTCCACCGTGAAAACGGTCACCAAAAAAATTCTTAAAAGCGCCCTACTGAGGGACATTTTGAAAACGCCATTTTACTGGCCTGGTTTGGACGGGCGAAAGCTGCGTATTTGGAGAAATAGGACGTAACAGATCTGAGCTAGCAGAGAAATAAAAACGTTTAACTACTTTTGGGTGAAGTGGTCATGACTATTTTGTCAGAATAAAACTTAAATGTGGGGCTTCTTATTTTACCGCTGGTCTCGAAAATCGAAGCGTCAAGCGACTCAATGGAGGTCCTGGGTACTTGCAAATACTTGCAAATACTTGTCAAACAACTTTGTCAACCATACGACCATTACTTATTGAAATAGTTTCTGCTTAATGAAGTATGCATATCAAAGTTGTTTAACAACATAATGATGACGCAGTTTATTTCATGAAAGCTATAATCGGAGACAAAGTCATTGAGATACTGTCTCCAATTAGGGCATTTTTCGGAAAACAAAACAATCGGGACCCCTTTCCCCACCACGATCCAAAGTTTGATTGTTTCATGCAAAAAGCATGAACAGCGGCACAAAATTGTTAAGAGGGGGTGGGAGGGGAAAGCTTCCTATTTTTCCTTTAGTGGGAACAGTGAAAAATGTCGTTGAAAGCAAAGCTACTTAACTAATTTTGTTGCTGATTGAAAGTAAGCAATCGCAAATGTTATTTCCACCTAATTCACGATGGCAACCAGACTTCTGGAAAGCGTTTAGGTACTTTAACAACAAAAAAACGTCCATTTACCTTCATTCCCATACACCTCAACGCTAAGACAACTCAAGCGTACTTGCTTGGTAGGGTAGAAACGAATAAATCTTGCTGGAATTGGCTTCAGTAACCTATGACGGTCAACTATGTTGTTGCTGTTGCTCCTGAGAAACTCCTATCCAAATAAATGTAATTAATTGCCGTTTTCAAAATTGATGACATTAATGCATCCTAAATATTTTAGCGAAACTCCCAATGCTTCAAGTTGAACTTTATGAAAGCTACCGGTACCAAAAACGCTGTAACGGAACGTGCTTAGCATTTCCTCAGTACGACCATATTCGTGGCAATTCTTTAAAAAAATCTTAACTGTGCTTATGGGGAATTAGCATAGAGCTGAGACAATAAAGTATAGACCATTCTCACTCTCACTGCTGTCTAATATGAAAACTTTCATGGGGGGAAACTGTATAGTTCAAACGTGCATACAATTATGGAACAATTAAATAACCCTATTTCTGTCCTTACACATGAATTAAAATGCACCATTAACTTTTATTTCTCACCATGTTTTAACCATTTCCATTCTCGTATTGTGACCATTGGCTGCTATCATTAGAGAAGGACAGTGTAAACGCTGTGGTCCATCTTGTACCTTTTTTGGCGCCCTTTGTAGCAACACCACAAACTCGAAATGTCTTGCAGCCACTGATTTTCATCGCTCCCTTTTTTTGGACACCATCAACGTGTACCACCTCTACTAAAGTTGAGTCGGCCATGCTGGGGTGTGTGTTTGTCATTTAAATACGAAGAAGCATTCATCTGACTTTTATCAATTTTATTTCTGTTTGTGAAGCAGTCATTCGACGGACCTACACGACAAAAAACTACCCTTATCTAGAAGGATCTTGGAGGATATATATCTAATCATCAATACTAATTGTTCCAGACTTCAAAGTGATTCATTGCTTTATTGCGACGATACTGTTTCGTAAGATCAAAAGTATCCACACCCATAAAAAAATAATCACACTGCTGGTTGAGCGTCAAGGACGTTTGGGCGGTAACAGTTACATGATTATCTAAAACGAGCTGGTTCGTGGCCAAATGATCTGACGGAAACGCCGTC